TTTCATTATAATGTTATTTTCATTGATATGTTTAGTAAGTCTCTCTTTTAGTACAGAGGTGAAGAGTTTACTCAGACTATTTAGAAGAGTAATTCCTCGATAATTTCCTGGGTCAGCTCGCTCCCCCTTTTTAAAGATTGGCGTGATAATACCCATATTCCAGGCACTAGGAAAGTGACCACTGTTGAGGATATGGTTAAATCACAGTCACTCTACTAGTAGAGGGTGACTGTGGTTAAACAGTTTTTGTAGAGGCTTTATCAGGACATTTCTACCAGTTTTAATCATTTCATTTGTTATGCTATCTTTACCGGGAGATTTCTATTCTTTAAAGCACTGATTGCAGTTTGAATTTCTAATTGAGAGATATTTTGGTCCAGAATGATAATAGGTGTAATTTTTAGGCTGTCAGCACAGTCACTCTACTAGGAGAGTGACTGTGCTGTCAGTTTCTATTTTTAGGTTGTCGTCAAATGGGATTTCATCTGTATTGAGTATCTTAAAATGTTCATACCACTTTTCAGCATTAATGTTATCACATAACTTATTTTCTTGTCCTCCCTTTAGTTCATTTATTAAATTCCAATATTCTACAAGACGCGAGTTACTCATTGTGTCTAGTTTAGTTAGTATATCATTCTTGTATTCTCGCCTTTTCTTTTTTACAAGCTGTTTATATTTTCGCTTCATATTATAGCATTCAGTTCTGAGCTGTTTGTTGTAGGGATTAGATGATAATTTAATTGACATTTTATGAACTTCTTTCTTGAGCTTAGTCAATTCACAAGTGTACCACTTAGGGTTATTTTTCTTATTCTTATGTTTTGGGTTTTTTGTCTTTACCTTATGTTTTGTTAAACATTTACGGGCTGCAGCATGGTAAATATTTGAGAGAGATCTGTGGCTGTATCGACTGCCTGTTGAGAGTTATCAAAATCAGTTAAATTAAAGTTATTGATTAAGTTACACATATCTTTGCAATGTAATGCTTCATTAAAAAGAAATTTTGATTTCTCATTCCAAATATATGTGCATGTTTGCTGTTTTAAAGTTTTTGGGGCACCTGTGTGCAACATATCAGTGGTAGAGATTTTTAGCAAGGCATTTGTTTGAATGTGGTAAGATATCTGGCAGTGATCTGACAAGGTAAAATTTAAAGGATATGTGAAGGTCTCATACCACTAATCAACCAATGGCTGCTCAATTTGAATGCCTTGCATGAACCAATGAAATTGTTTAAATATTTTTTTTCTCAGGTGCTCCCTGTTTGAGGGCGTGATCACCTGGGTCAAAGGTGAGACCAACATGTGGTCTTTTGTTTACTACTTAGCGGCTGTGTACCTATGGGTTTATTCTGTGTGTATTTGGATGTTCTAATCTTGGTGTTTTTCCAGTGATTTCTCTAGGTGCAATCCAAATACAGTAGGTGTGTCTTGTTTACCTGAGATTTGTAAGAGTTTGAGCTGGCCAACATGTTAGTTTTTTCCTGTGGTTGATTACTGGCATGTTGAGTTTCCATTTTTAAACCATGTTTTTAACTTTATTCACCATTTTCATATTGCAATCTCGTCATATGTTAACATTGTCATCTATGAACAATTGCAAGTCACCTGGTGCGGGATAAGACTGAGAACACTGCACCAACCTGTTGACTTCACTGGCAATACAGCAAACTGAAGTTATAGGGAAGACTAGCAATGCGACTTCCACAGGAAACTAAGTGTGCAATATTTGCTACCTAAAATATATTTATAATGTTTTATAACATTAAAAATTACTGTTGAATATATTGAATAAATTTCGTTTTCACCATCCGTCCTCAACCCTGCATGTTTACAGTTTATCTTTTTTATGATTCGTGCCCTCTAGCGATGACGCACTTAGATGAATTGCCGAACGAATAAACATTGTTTTGGTCTGTGGTCTTGCACCAATAAAAATAGTTTATGGGATTTTCTAAATAAAAAATAACTACCAAACAAAATTGACATTTTGACATCACAGAAAAGATTATTCATTAGATAGTGCAACTTATTTCGAAAAGTATATGAAGGGTTTGAATTGAAGGAATACTGTCAAAAAGGCAACTTTTTCTCTTCAACTTGTATTTTACTATCACATGAACATCCTTAATAACAAAGTAACCAGAAGTAAGATTTTTTGTAGCAGTTTATTTTGTAAATAAAATCCTAAATATCTAAAATACATAGAAATGGCTAAAATATACATCTCTAAAAAATGAATTTCAGTAAAAAAATACTGTGATGAAATAACTAATTTCACAGGATTCTGTAATAAATAAAATAAATGAGCAAAACAATTCATGTAATATTTTAAAAGTTTTAGCTAATGCCCTGTAGACATTTAATACATATACATTTGCACTTTTAAAAAAATCGTTATTATTACTTCAGTTCATTTCACAATATACAATAATCTATATACAATATATAAGTTTTTAAACATTTTAAAGTTTTGAAAACAATCTACTGTGGAATGATTCAGTAAAAATAAAATCCAGCGAATATACCTTTTTTCCTATCTCTTTTACATTCAACTCATCAAAAATCAGGGAAAATAAATTCTATATAACACCTAAAAAGTCTTTTCACGAATATAAATTCCAGTGAAAATAAAGTATTTTACAATATTTGAATTAAATATTTTGATAGTACACATGTATCAGCTAACTACGATAGTAAGTTGACTGAAATTTATTGCCACAAAACACAAAAAATGTTTCACAGGTTAAATGTTATGACAAAACAAGGCACCATAAATAAATAATCAATTTAAACAAATAAATACTGGTACTTTAACTTACAGGACAAGAAATATAAACAAGCTTGGCTAATTACACACAAATTTGATAATGTAAATTTCTATTGGTTGAGAATATATTAAACCTGAGTGATTGGATATTAGGATGCACGATAGTACCAATTATAACACCTGAATTGAGACCAGCATACTGTATTTCTAAAAAAAAAAACCCATCCCTCCCCAAACCCACCTCTGCTCACCATTTTACTCAAAATTCCATCTATATATGAATTTTAATCAAGGTTGCTGGAGTAGTATAAAAAAAATGTGATATTAAATTATATTTTAGTTTCAAAACCATTTAAAGGAAAACTGGCTTCCTCTGCATTGTTCTGCTCTGGTTGTCTTATAACAGGTTTTTTTTTTTGACAAATGCAGCAGGCAATAAGAACAAGTACTATGATGACAATAATGATAATCAGAGCTCCAACTATCAGATAAATGGTTAGCTTCACTTTCATTTCATCCTTATCAGATTGCTTTGCTTCAATCCAAGCTGTGAATACAAATACAAATGTGGGTATTAGACATATGGGCCTAAACAAGTCACAATAGACTAATGGAGACTTTCTTTGTGAAGCTGGTGTACCAGGTGTACACACGTTTTAACAAAGTTATAATAACCTACGTCATGGGAATGCCAAAATCCAAAAAGTTTAGAACAGAATCAGCGAACTTCTTTGCGTGGAGTCCGGTCAAAATCCAATGGCAGCCATGTTTTTATTATTAGAGGACGCTTACGCGCGTAATCATTCCATATTTGGAATTCGCATTTTCTTATATGGTAGGATGAAAATACCCCATGATTAAAACAGTGTAACCTGGTAAAAGAAAATATTATTACTAAAAATGTTAATATATTGTGCATTTTGTGAGAAAAACTCTCCAAGAGGAACATGCACATTCAAACCATAGAGTTTGAATTGAACATGTGACATCACACTCGGTTTTTATCTCCCACCAAATATGCTAATTTTACCAAGGAATTCTTATATTCACTACTAAATACCCTTCCTTGCTGTTTATAATCTCTAATCATGATAAAAATGCTCACCTTTACCGACAACAAAGAAATCACTGATTATGCAAAATTCAGAGATATTGCCATGAAAAAAACACCAGCTGCCCCAAAATATTCACTAAATTTTACATTTCTTGTATTGTTTTATTTTTGTTCTGTTTTACTTATTGATTTAATTTTCTAATTGTTTACTTTAGTTTGTTACTTTTTTCAGCTAGCTGTTGTTTATTTAAACAACATACTTTATTGTATTATTTTCAGGATCCCAA